GCAAGAAGTCACAATGGTGGATCCCAGAGCGATTCCTCTACCGAACGTTCCTCTCTTCACGAACGAGACGATGGAAGAAAAGCAAGAAGAAGACGAGCAAGAAGAAAAGGTGGCTTTTGTTCCCACCTTGAGCGAGCCTCGACGCGACCTGCCACTTTTTCACGTTTCTCCTCGTCTCCCTCTTTCTCTCTCTCTCTCTCTCTCTCGCGCGCGCCCTTTCTCTTTGTTTCACCTTCCCCATCTCTCCCTTTTGCCACGTCCTCGTCCTACCCTAAGATATCCTCTTCCACGCCTGATGCCCTTTGTCTCGAGGAAACGCGATTAGAAACCCTGGCGGTGCAATTTTAAGGCGGCTCCCGCTTCCGTCATAATGGCGTGTCTATTAGTCTCTCGAACAGCGGGGAACCAAGTTTGCTGCTGTTTTCTTAGTGGCTTTTCTGGCCGGCTTTCTCGTCAGAGACGCGTTGATTTCAACGGAGGTGGAAAACATCTGTTATTTGATCTCGTTCCGGTGCCGTGATATAATGCTATTGATTGTCGGTTCTTTCAATAATGACAGAGAGAGAGAGAAAGAATAAAATTTTCAATTTGAATATTTTTATAGTTTAATAAATGTGTTCCTCTCTTCATAATCTACGCAATTTTCAAAAAATATGATATAACGAATAGATAAAAAATTAATTGCACCTCTATAGCACGCGTTGATGCTAACGTTCTTTACCTCTCCAACATTTCATATTGAAATTAAATATGCGATGTGTCAAAACATAAATAAAGACAGAGCTGTCTATTTCCCTTAAAAAGGCAGATTTTATTAACTGTCGGAAACAATGAAAACGGAACGAGCTGTATGATTACGCCTGACTTCTACCATGAGCGCGTCTTTCGATGGCGAGTCAGCGAAGGAAGAGAGAGACGACAGTCGGAGGCAGAAGCCGATGCTTTGTGGTCCATAAATAAATCACCCAACCAGCATGACAACGACGCGCAGTCACCGGCGCGAGGGTAATCGCGTTTGTATTTTGAGCGATAGCCAATATTTAACTCCGTCAATGGCAATCCGTACGACTACGACGTGCCGAAGGGACTATCGGAGGAGCGGTAAGTCGTGTTCCGCGGAAGGCGAAGGTCGAGGCTAAAGCCGCGATCCCTCTTCGACCGTTCGACAAGGGAGACCCTACATGGCGCTTTCGACAAGGTAACCGGAGATGGCCGGCAAGAGCCATGATTCCTGGAAACCTCGCTAGGAAGACCTGGCCGACGATAAGTCACGAAAGTGACGAGGCCACCGGACAGCGAGGCATACCAGACGTTCCAGATTCCAGGTCTTTATCCTCCATCTGGTCGATCTGGAGACGCCTTTCAAAGGGTTATTCTTCGGGAAAAATGTTTGTCTCGAAATTCTCAGGTAAAAGACACATCGCGGGAAGCGTTATAATTATACTAGTTAAAAGTTAATGCGATGATGATTGCTGGTAGATAATCGAAATATAAGCAGCCATAACAAGCCTGCGATTATTTAATTTAATGATAATAATATCGTTGTAACGAGACAGTCACAACAGTGAGAGCGGTTGGCGTCGATAATTGTCATAATTTGTAACTTTCCCCTTGTGTCGCGGTTTTAACAAACTAAACAAACGCTTTCGCGAGAGCCGCAAGCCTGAAACAGCCGCTGAGAAAATTCAAATGTAATGGGTTAAAGAAACCGGGAATAATATTTACGCAATTGTTCGCGACGTGGTCGGCTTGATTATACGATCGTCTTATCAGTCAAATTATTAATAGCTGATTTCATAATTCCAGATAAGCGTGAACGATAGATACAGAGACATGAATAACGTAGCATAAATATTATTTTTGTTTAAAAATAAAAATGGGAAAACAAAAAATAATTTTGTAAAACTCGTGCGAGTCACGCAAAAGCGACTTAAGGATGTTTTGTACCTATTTTCAAAATATTGAGAATTTAATGAAAATTGTACAGAATGTCCTTACATATGTTTAGAATCTTCGGTACAATTTTTAAATCGATTCACAAGTTATAATAAGGATTTTAATTTGAATTAACATGTGTTCTTATGGGAAACGTATAACCACGTCGATTCAAATGACAAAAACACATGGAAATAATATTCACAATTTGCTTAAAATGTCCACACAATTTCTTACTTAAATACACCAAAAGTAGATATATTCGTCAATATTAATTTCCAGCTACCTTTTGCTGGGATTGTACATACAAAACATCCTTAAAAGTTTGTGAAAATTGTAATAAATACGAGAAATAAATAATTATAATTATAACAAATAATTAAATAAATAATAAATAATAATTATAATTATAATAAATAATTAATAATTTATTCAAACAAGAAATAAATAGATAGTCGATTATCTAATATTCTAAAAAAAAAAACAAGAAATAAATAGAAATAAATAGTCGATTATCTAATATTCTAAAAAAAATATATTTAAAACGTTTTCATTTTTCGTGGAGATGTTAATTTGAAGAAATGAGGAAAAGGACAATTGAGAGGGGAAAAGAGATTTTTCCGAAGGAATAATCATGGGTCTCGCGCTAACCGTGGACTCCGAAAATGGATTTCTGCGGCGACCCTAGATGATTCGTTTCGGCGACGCGAAACAATGTCTGTTTCCTGGCGACTAGGAAAGAGCCGGTAATCGCATTAGCGGTCGCGCCGCGTTCGTTGCACGTCCGCGAAACGTCTTTCGCCATTACCTCGACTTATAGCGTAACGAATCCGTTCTACGGGATCGGTTCTGTCACCAAATCACGCCGGTTTTGCTACGCTACTCCGAGAACCGAGAGAGTCGAACAACCGGCTAACGAACGTGCGCAACCGCGCGATGTAAAAAAAAGTTTATTAATATCCTGACTGGCAAAACAACGCTTTAACCGGACAATTCGAGACGGATCGCGTGCTTTTTCACGTACGGGAGTTAATTACGCTCGATATTTTTTGTTTACCGAGTACCGAATTCTCACGAAGCGATCTCGCAGCTATTCGCATATAATTATTAAGCGGCGAAAATTAAGTGTACGCCGATGCGCGGGAACTCGAATTGAAGTTGAAAATTCCATCGTTCGACAATTAATGGCGACATTATCAATCCGAATTAGGAAAAAAATCCGCGAGTTCCCTCTTAATTAGAAGACGCCGACGAATAACGCGAGGCGATTGAACGAGATAAAGCTGCTGGAAGTTGCGGGAGCTAAATGGACCTCTATTCCGCTACCGACAGCTCCTAAGGGCTCCTAATTGTCAAGATCGAGCACCATAATTACACCCTCCGCGATTCGTTCTCGTCTCTCCCTGTTAACGGAACCGGACGAATTCTCCGAGTGGCAAAAACAACATCGAAAAATCGGAGCGATTCGACAGGTAGGTAACCGTAGCCTGGGAATTAAGAAGTCTGGCTTGATAAGAAACGATAAAAAAACTATTTCATAGGGACCCTGTGACCCCTCTCTCCCTTTCGCGGGTTCTTTTTTTCATTAAATTATAATCCTCGAGGAATCTATTAAGAACCAAACTAGGGAGATAGATGCTGTTATTTATGATCTAAGATAAAACTTTGAAATTTGTAACGAATAATAAAGGAGACAGAGCTAAGGCTAAAATCTAATAGTGCGCATATTTTAAATGAAATCCGTTAATTAAATATAAAAATAAAGCACAAGCACTTGCAAGTTTTCAGTTCTCGAAAAAAATTATACACACACATATAAAATTAATTTTTATTTATTTTTGTAAACATTATAATGTCCAAAAAATAGATAAAAATTAATAAAAGAGGAATCTGCGATTTTATTTTAATTGTTACTTTTCAAAATTCTATTAAAATGTTTAAAATTAAAATATTCAAATTTCATTGAAATTTTACGTGATTCGACAGTAGCAGAGCCGCGTTATTTAGCGCTCAAAGCACGAGTTTATTGACACATTAGAGAGATATCACGCGGTGAACAATTTCCGAGAAATTAAGAGCTCGCTCGATAAAACAAGGCAGTCGGAACTTTTCGTTGCCGTATTTTTTTAATCGAGTTTCCGAGAATTTACACATTCATCGCATTGATATCGCGTGAATTGAAGATGCAATTTTAATAGCAAAAATTTAATTAAGACGATAAAAGCAATTTTGTCGACAAATATAAATTAGATATATATGTAAAAGGCGGAAAGGCGCAATCAAGAATTCATTTATAGCTTCGGAGATTAAATTAATTGTTCCACCATTATAAAATCGTGATTAGATTACCGAGAACAGTAATTGCCTTGGTATTATATAATTCACTCTCGTGACACTCGCGCTTTCTTATCTAGGCTCATGTTTGCTTTTTGTCCGTCATTCGACCTGTCGATAGAGTAATAGAGTACGAATTCCAAAGTCGCAGCGTGACGCCTACTCAGCCGCATGTTTCATAACTTTCCGCAGGCCGATTGCATTCTGTTGCATTACGACTCGTTGTGATTTTGCCGACTACCTATCCACGCAATCGATCAGGCTGATCAACGACGGATGTATTTATGCAAAACATCGCGCTCGCGAATCAATCTTGATCGTTGGGCGCGTCTTAAATTTTCTAAACTAAAAAGTACTTAATAAAAAAAAAAATGCTCAACAAAAACCGATACAAACGTTATTGCATTTATTATAAAAATATTTCTATCGAAATTGATTGCGTTATCACAATTTCCTCAAGTAATCTTTAAAAAGTAACCTTGACTGATAAACTTGACGGATGAAATAGTCGCGATGGGAGATCAACGCACGATAAATGTCAAATAAGAATCTTAAAAAAGCGCTTAATCAACAGCGCAATAAATCATCACTAGATACGTAAAGATTCACGCAAATATTTTTCCAAAGATGTCGTATCTTTCTTCATTGTGGAATTATTACACAATGGAATGATTGGCAACATTAGTTTGCTAATGTAACCATTCTTTTCATTGATCGATCGTTCGACTCACCAGTGTAACACCAGGCCGGCCAGACGACAGGGCTCTCGGTGTCCAGCTCCCTCATTCTCTCAGCGACCCTCGGACATCTCCACTCCGTTCTTCCCGACGTGGCGGTAAGAATGTCCAGTTTGGCTATCAGTGTCAACCACCAACCGAGCGAGGAATCTTCGGTTCCGCCTGTTGCAAATCGCGGGAGAACCGTTCGTTGTTTTAGGAAATCACCTGTTGCAAAGAGTTCTCTGTCTCTCTCTCTCGCTCGCTCGATCAGATTCAAAATTGACTTATTGGAAAACGCAGGTCCGCTTCCTATTATTGAGATTGTGCACGTGCAAGTGAAGAATTCCGAGAGACAGATAAGTCTTTGGATGACTTTTCGCAGTCACCACACTCGGGTTGAGCCGCTGATAAGGCACGGAGGACGCGTCACCCACTCATTTCGTCCTCGTCTCACTCCCTCTCTATCGCCTCTCTGCTCGTCACGTCGACGATAACACACTTCTCGCGAAATATTTCGCCGTGACGCGTGTTACACGAAAAGGTGTCGTCTGGCACTAGACTCGAATCGCGTATTAAATGTCACGGAAATGTCAATAAGATGCCGTCGATTGACACCTTCGCTGAATGTCTTTCCTTCGGCGCCTTCCACTTTGCCGCTCGTCGAGTAATATCTGTCTTGAGAATCCTCGATCGCAATGAAGTTTTCAATTATATCACCAGATTCCTCTTCTCTTTCACTCAGAACACGATTATCGAGGTACTCATTATTTTAGCGGATGCTGAAAATTCTCTCGATTGACACTAGATTCTCAATCTACTTTCATTCTCAACGAACAGTTTCGATCACAACGCGCTGGTCTTTTATCATCACGATAAGTTTGATCAATGTAAGATCTTGTTTGTACAAAATAGATTCACTTCTCTGAGGTTTCCGAAATTCTCTCGAATCCAAATATTTCAATAAATCACTTTCTACCCGTGTCAAAAGATCGCGCGTACCATCGAGCTATCACTTCCTTCACCTCTGCGGTCACCGCGGGATCATTTTCTTCACTCTACAATACACCGGCGATCAACCGGCCCCGGTAATCGCAGAGTGTACCTCCGACCCGATCGATCCTTGCCTTCGGTTCTAGAGGATCGTTGACGTACCGCGGGATGACACGACACTACACAGCACTGCTGCGTGAGGTGATGTCGAAGAGGATAGACGAGAAAGAGAGGAAAAGAGAAACAGTAGAGGGAGAGAGAAAGAGAGAGAGAGAAAGAGAGAGACGGAAACAGGTAGGGGGATGGATAGGGGGAAAAAAGACGGTGGAGGAGATAGTCCGCGGGGAAAGGAAGAGAGAAAGAAGAGAAAGAGAGGGAGAGAGAAAAGGAGAAAGAGAGGGAAGAACCTGACCACCTGACCACACTGCTCTGCCTTAGTAGGCACGACACACAAGTAAGCGGAGTGGCACTTAGGTTGGTGCACCTGCCGCGAGAGTCCGCGTCGTAATGGGAGCGGGGCAACGGGCGGCAGGTAGGCAGGCCCACAGCTCGTCAACCTGCGGAGAAGGGGAATCAGTCACATGGCGAGTGCCCCGCGCTGCCTGCGAAGGAGGTGGTAGTCGGAGTAGATGGTGGTGGATGAACGAAGGTGGTGATGCTGGCGACGACGGCGCCGGTGGTGGTGGTGATGGTGGTGGCGGTAGTGGATCGCGATAGAACACAGGAGTAAGAATCATCGGAATCCTCGAGAGAGGAGAGCCGACTGTGTAACCTGTCGCGACGATCGGTGTCGGCACGATTCCGTTCGAGAAAAGTTCGAGATGATTTCCTCCCGTCGCAAAGCGCTCGCGATAAGATGAGCGTGAAGAGGGAAAGCATCCGAGAATAAGCTTCAGCGATTCTTACTCGAGATATACAGCCCGGTGACAATTGGCAGATACAGAGCGAAATTGTTATGTATGTAATTGTATTGTATAAGGATTTGTAATAAAGATTTACGCGATAAAAAAAATTAGATTGAGAATTATTTCATATAAATAAATTAATGAAAGAATAATTGACATATTGTGTTTTTAGAAAAAAAATAAAAAGTACAAAAAAGATTCTTAAAGGGAGAAGTTATTTGAATAAAGTAAATTAAAGATAAACATCTCGTGAAAAACTGCGATTGCGAAACAAAGATGGAAATGAGTCAGATATGAGAATTATTTTATATAAATAAATTAATGAAAGAATAATTGACATATTGTGTTTTTAGAAAAAAAATAAAAAGTACAAAAAAGATTCATAAAGGGAGAAGTTATTTGAATAAAATAAATTAAAGACAAGCAATCTCGCGGAAAAGTGCGATTGCGAAACCAAGATGGAAATGAAGCGGACAATTACTTTCCCTTATTTACAGCGAGGAAATATTTAGCAAACATTATTATCGAAACAACGCAGAGCCGCACCATCTTTCTTGCTTGCTCGACTACCGATTATGGTTTATTGGAGGATATCTTCTGTGCACACGAATGCCATATTTGGATCCTTTTACGAGATAGAACGGAAAAGCATTCGTTCCCGAGATTGTCGGTAGTACTTGACAGTAGATTGCACCGCGAAGCGTCTCTTCCAAGCATGTCGCTCAATGTCCAGCTATCAATGCTACGTCTTTCTTTGCTTCTGCGTCTGGCCGAGGCTCGTATAATAGTCTAGGTGGACATTACGTCAAGGTGGAACGAGACGCGAACACTTTGTTTGCTTGTATGCCATAGTTCTTCAAGGATCGCTCGTAAAACAATATCATCAGCCTGCGTCGGCTCCTGGATAGTGCGATCGTTTTCTTATGGTTCGATTTTACTGTGTTATATATCTCTTCTAAATACGAATTTTAAAAGAAAGAAAAAAATAATTCATTGCTTATTTATAAAAAAAGTTTATCTGTATAAACAATGAATTATTTTTTTCTTTCTTATATTAATTAATTAATTATATATTTTAATTTAATTTAAATTATATATATATATATATATATATAATTAATTTCTTGAGCTTGCGTCATAAATAATCTTATCAAAATTTGTAGTCTGTATTAACTATGATAACTTAATTATATTTTGTGTTATATTTTTTTAAACGCGAAATCAATTACCGATATATCCCCTACTCACTTTATTTCATAGCAATTGACGTAACATTCCGTATAAGTCCCTTAACTTTTTTGCGATTTTAACGAGAGATCTCTAAATTATTTCAATGAAAATCCTCTTGCTCCGACTCGCATTAATCGGATCTTACCCATCCATCTAAATTAAAACTAATTACACGGCACCCCACGGTAATCCTATAACAGCGTCGAAGCACGGAGGGTATTATCTCGGGGAGATTATTCTAAAAACGTCGCCGTAGATGTCGGAACACGTTCCTATGTCACAGTGGGGTACCTACGAGATAGTAAGCAACGCCCGAGATGAGAGCTTGTTAAGGTTAATCATCATATTGTTTCGCGAGGGCGAGGCGTTGGCTCTAATCGACGCGGAGAAACGACGAGCGGTAGTGATTGCGAGGGAAGAGGAGGGAGGCTGGAGCTTCGAGATGTACCATCAAAGACGATATATCGCGCCCGATATATATCACTCCGCTTCTCTCCGCACGTCGACCTATTATACGTACGTGTATGTATATCTCCGGAGGCTGCGCCCCGAGCTCCTCGTTTAGATATCCGCTCCGCGAGATTATTCGAGCGAACGACGCTCGTCGAAACAGTTCCGACGGACGGCGCGCATTATATTGGTACCCTATGTATCTGGCGTCGATCTTGCGAGCTTCCGCAGGTAGCGATTACCACCTCGGCCATCTTCTCTCCCGAAGAACCATCGGCGATTAAAGGAGGTCGACCTCCTCCGCGTCGCGCAACGGGATGCATTAATCCTTCAGCTGGATCGATACGACCCGTCCTTGCGCGGACTGACGTCCATCAACCCTCGCAGGAATTAATTAATGCAGTTCGGTCGGCATTAAATATTTCGCGACCGGCTATAATGATACAGGAGTAACTATGCCTGCGATCGATACAAGCATAGTTTAGACTCAAGTACACCTTTCTCGGGAATTGCAAAAATTATTGAGTTTATGTGCGATCCTTTTTTTTATAATTTGTATATGTATTATAAAAAATCTTTCATCTTTAAAGTAAGAGCTTTTTTCTCAGTTGAAATTATCTTGAGAGCAAATTATGAGCAATTGACCACATTTATATAAATAATTTAATACTATGGAAAAAGTGGACAATCTCATGTTATACGAACCTTCCACTTTCCCGAACAACAAATGATGGAAAACAATTTTAAACGCGCCTCGTTTCGCGCATAAATCCCGGAATATCATATTCATGACAGGGCATCTCGCGCGTTTTCGAAACGTCAGTTTTCCCAAACGCGACACGCTAGTTAAACGCGTTCCATCTAACCGTAGTTCATCTTCGGGGACGAAGTAACCGGTGGCGTTCATGAATACGTGTTCATTATTTATGAGCAACGCCTCTCGGCATCAACTGGACCGGCCTCTCTATCTACCGGTAGGCACCCGGGAGAGGAAGGTAACCGGATAACGTATTACGTCTTCATATTTTTTTCCCCTCGTGCACGCCCGCTAATTAAAGGTGCCCCGCCAAGGATTTGCCCCGATGATTTAGCGGCGATGCTGCGCCGACCTGATAAGATGGGACAGGTTGATAATGAGGCTTCTTTTGGTATATCGAGAGCCGGATCGAGTTCTAGTATATAGACTCTACATCTCCCCCTTATAATATTCCTATAACTTCTGGCTACCGCTCGATCAAGTTTATCATACTCGTCTCGCGCAGCCTGTGCGTGTCATGAAAGAATTTTATATCAACCGAAATGAGATTCCACACTGAGAAAAATCATTTGATTGTACCAACAAGACGTATATGATTAAAGGCATTTTGGTTAAATCAAACAAGAATTTCTAGTTATCATGATAAGACTCGATTTTTTATAACTAGAACGTTTATAGATTTTACTATAAGATTTTGGTATTTTCTGATTGAATCTATAACATTTCTTGTTACATTAATTTCTCTGCTATAAAAGTATATAAAGAATTAGTATTAACATTAAATCCAAAATATATTTTTTTTTCTTACGAGCAATAGTGCCAGGAAGAGGATGCTAGCTCTCTATTGTGTGTGTGTTTGAACTGCATCCTCTTTTTGCATCACTGTTTATCAGTTTAATTTCCAACAAACTGAATTTAAAATAATTTATTCAATAATCTGGATTGAATTTAAAATATTAAACAGACTTTTGAGATTAGATGGACAAAATTTTAGACGACTTGGTGCTGGCGAGTTTAGTATTATTAACCAGAAAATTTGGAAAATTTAACAGGAAGAAATTAATCAGATTCATCTGGTAATTCCTACAAAAATTCTGGATCGTCCATTTTCCAACAAACATACTGGTTGAACCTACCAGAATTCTAATTAATGCAACCAGATTTTTTCTCAGTGCACTGTTTAATTTCTAACAAACTGAATTTAAAATAATTTATTCAATAATCTGGATTGAATTTATCCAACAATCTTGTTGGAATTCAGAATATTAAACAGGCTTTGAGATTAGATGAAAAAAATTTTAGACGATTTGGTGCTGGCGAGTTTAGTATTATTAACCAGAAAATTTGGAAAATTTAACAGGAAGAAATTAATCAGATTCATCTGGTAATTCCTACAAGAATTCTAGTTCGTCCATTTTCCAACAGACATACTGATTGAATCTACCAGAATTCTAATTAATGCAATCAGATTTTTTTTCTCAGTGCACGCATCAGATTAAAGAACATATCCGCGAAAATGAATAAGATAACATCTTAAGTATAAAAGCAATTTCTCACCGAAATCTGTCGTAATTTCATGCAAAAATATCACGCGAAATTGGTCAAATATAAATATTGCTACCGTGCAAAAAGACTCGGCGACATTATGATTGATTACGAGACGCGGACGTTATTTTCACCTACAATCCCCGATGGTTCTCGCCATCTGTTGACGGAACAGTTATGCCTATTCGATCGAAAAGCGTTGTGATACCAAGCATCCGCGGCATCATCGGGATCTCGGCAGCGCCGAGGGATCTTGACGAGGGGGAAAAAAAGAAGCGACTCGCGGCATTCCCCTTTCTCATTACGGTATGCCGGATCAAA